GCCCTCAACAAATTTTCTTTGCATCTCCTCCATTTTGGCCAGCATGGTGGCATATTTGGGGTCCGCCTGCGAGGCGGAAGCGGTCGTGTGCGCTTGGCGGGCCTCCATTTCATCAAGGCGGCGTTGAAGGGCCTCAATAATCTCGTCCCTGCGATCCTTCGGGAGGGCCTCTGCCCCCTGCGATTGTACACGGGCCGAGAGAGCCTGGTTGATTTGGTGCATGGCGTCATCAGCATGGAGTGGTCCCTTACCTTTCTCCAGAGGGGGACGCCTCTCGTCTTCCCTCGATATAGATCCCCCGCTTTCCTGAGGTCTTTGGAACGCCTTAACCCCGAGGCGGTCTTGGACCCCTCGGCAATCTTGCGCTCCTCCTAACCGCTCGAGGGCAGAGGTCCGGGGCCTATCTTTGTTCGCACCGCGCTGGTCCCGAAACTGGACTTCCTCGGAAGCAGTGTCCTGAGCCACGACCCCTTCGTTGTTCCCTAACCGAAGGATAGGGTTTACGAAGGGGGTGGTGGTGGGAGAGGAACGGCGTTCTCCCCGACCTGTGGCTGAAGTGGCACCAGAGTGCCGAAGGCACCCGGATTGTGGGTGAGTGTCTGGATGAAGCCAGAAAATGCCGACTGTACGCCAATAGTGAGGACTGGATGGCTCACTTGGTTTTCGCTCTGATCCCTCTTTCGAGCCTCGATGCTGAGGCGGGCATCAGGAGCATTCTGTTGGAGCTGAAGGCGCAGGTCAACAGCAGCCTGTTCCAACCCAGCGATGACTCCGCCTTCGGGGGCCTTGTTGGAGGTTCCGGGGGTGTCGATTTCACCGAGGGCGGGTTTGTTGTCTTCAATGGTTTTGGACTGAGCACGAGTGGTTCTTCCCATTTCGATATGTGTTTTTGTGTTTGGTGAAGGAGAGGGTTTTTTATTGACTGTTCGAGCTCTCAACGATAGCACCAAATGATGAATAGCGTACCCGGGGGTAGCTTACCCGAGGGGTTATTACGGGAATAACTTAGAGAGAAGTCAGATCAATAAGTAAGAGAGAGAAAGTGTATTTGAATATAGAAACTTGTGATGCTTTACAATGGAGAATGGGCTGCTATTTATAGCAGTAATAAATGCTAGGCAGGGACACATGTCGAGAATCTGACGGCTGAGGGTCACCTCAATCGGGGTGGCATCGGCATTTGCACGTGCACCGCATTAAATGCGGTGGGTGGATGTGACGCCGCATTTAATGCGGCGGTTGCCTGTCTCTAAAGGGAATCTTCAATGATTGCGCTGTAGCCGAAGGCTCCCCTGTGACCGAGGGATCTATGTAGCCGAGAGCTACCCTTATGCCGAGGGCGTGTATGAGCCGAAGGCTTCTGATTTCCGCCGTCTTCTCCCACTAGGTTTGTATGCCTAAAATCAGCTGTCCTGTGAGATTTTGGAGCCCTCAGCAATGGGGCCGAAGGCACCCGTATGTGCACCGTGGGCTTCTTGACACTTGGGCCACTGCGGTTTGGGCCTCTTGTGCTTCTTGGGCTTGTTGGGCCTGTGTTAGAGTAGTACGAGTCTATGGGTCGGGGGTCCCTGGTCCATATACTCCATCAGCGCGAGTTACACGTTTTTATGTACGAGTTACATCTAATTATGCGTGCGTTACATCTTTTTACAAAGGAGTTACATCTTCTGAAGCGCGAGTTACATTTGGACTTGCTTCAACAAGTTACATCCTGTATACACCTAAGCTACATTTGTCATCAACGTGAGTTACATTTGTAATAACATGAGTTAAATAAAAAATCAAACCTTGCTATTGAAACAAAAAAAAAATGATTTTTTTAAATCCATTTGATGGTCATGATATTAAAAATAAAACATATTCATGATTTACGTAAAGTAATTGTGCAGTTAAACTCTCTTTTTTCATTGTTTACATTGAAATCAATGTTTTATTTCTTATACTATGTCTTTTACAAGCTATATTACATTTTGATTGGACTTGAGATACAATGGTCAATAACGTGTGAAACATTTCTTTACACGCGAGTTACATTATTCATGCTACTGAGACAAAAAGAAAAAAAGTTACTGTACATGCGTGTACTGTTCACGCGTGTACTGTTCACATATGGGTTTTTTTAAAAATTGAAGCTTGTGCAAAACTGCGTTTTGGGCGTGGAGCATGATGCTCACTGTGGGATTATCCCATTGTATACAAACTGCACACACATACTAGATAGTTGATTTTGTTTATGTGTAAATGAATATATATTTCATTATTATTCAAATCACATACGTAATTATTGTATTCATATTTATATTCTACATTTTCAAATTTACTCCCTCCGTCCCGGTGAGTTCTTCCTAAATTGACTTGGCTCGCAATATTATATAGTGAGAATAAAGTGGAAATGTATGGTTGTAGTTGTGCAAGAAAAAAGTGAATGAATGTGAACCACATATTTTTTCCAAAAGTGGAAGTTGGAAGAATTAATTGGGACGGTCTAAAAAGGAAAGTTGGAAGAAATGACCGGGACGGAGGGAGTAAATCATAATCTATGAAACCAAATCACAAATCAAATTAAAATTATTTGTTTTGTTTGCAAGCCTTACTACTTATGATACTTCTGATTTATAAATTGGCTTGAAATGTGTATATGTAAATGTATATATGGCTTACACTTTGAGAGTATATCTAGTTTTTAAAAATTATTATAGTCTCTTTTTTTTTTAGCGTAAAAAAAAGCCTTATTGATAAAAGAAAAAGAATACAAACGCTAATGAAGGTAGGAAAAAAATATGGAGAAACAGAAAAAGTTTAATGAGGAAAACATGAATGTAGATGATCAGTAATCTGTGTTGGAGTAGTTGTATCCGGGTTCGCTTTTGAGTATGTTGTCTGGTGTTGTGCAATCGCGCTTGCTGCCTGGTCTCAATAGTCCTAGGTGTTGATTCATTTCGCCTTTTTGATTTTTTGGAAACAACAACCGTGAAGCCTTCTTCTTCTGATGGTATGTGAGCCACTCTGTTTAATTGTTGAACCAAATTAATTTGTCTTTCTTGGGCCTTTTACTGCATTTTGTGACCAAGCTCTTTTTGGAATAATTGAAATTCAGCTTTAATGTTGGCAAGATAGTTATGATAATCCTCTTTTGATTCGTCTTCAGTCGTTGCTTGATCAACCTCATTTTGTTTTGTCACTTCATCAACAAAAATAACCCCAAGCTCTTCGTTCATAGAATCAAAATTTTTAAGACCTCTATCGACCTCTTCTTTATCAACCTGTGGCTGATGAAGAGAAAATTGAGTGTCTAGATTCTCTGTAGATATAAGACCCTCAATATCAGCTTTAAATAATATCTCAAAAATGGAAATTTTTTGAGAAGAATTATTCTCGACCCTATTACACCACTGAACCGTCATATCTGAAATAATTTCTCCCTGTGCAAGTAGCATTGTCTGTTGTTCATATGCACTCATCATTTTGATTGCTGTCGATAACCCTATCAAAAAGTTCTCAATCCCTAATCCTTTTCGACCCTCCAGAACAAAAAGAGAGTCATAATTCTTCTCTGTTATCCGAATAAAGCCCCCAAAACAATTAGAATCTGCTTGAACAATTAGAGAATTTCCTAATTCCAGTTTATGACAAGTCCATTTATCCCTAAGAATTTCAACCAAAGCATCCCTCAACCAATTGAGCTTTTCAAGATAAAAATAAATTGTAGATAAAACCCCTGCTTTATCTCAGATATGCGTAAGCAATTGAAATCAACAATATCAAATTGGAACAATTTACTTTCAATGGTGAATTGAAAGCACTTCGGTCGACGATATTTACCTACAATTAACTCCCACTCGATTGTCCCTTCTGGAGAACCTTTGATTGGCCCCCGTCGTTGTACTAGATCCCGTCGACTTCGCTCTTCCATCGGCTTAGACTGCCAGTTGAAGGATTGGAGTTCGTCGCCCCTCGCCCCTCGCTGTGCTCCAAGACGCCTGTTGCATATCCGCCTGCATCGCCCTCCAAAATCGCGTTCCCAAATCCGTCAACTTCGCCCGTCGGTGTCGATGTGGCTTCGCTCCAAAATCCGTCGGTGTCCCTGTCTCCCCGGATTCGTTCTTCGCGTTCCAAAGTCGCGTTCCCAAATCTCTTGACTTCGCCCATCGGTGTCGATGTCGCCTCGCTCCAAAACCCGTCGGTGTCCCTGTCTCCCTGGATTCACTCTTCGCTGAGTTCGCCCCTCACAGAAGTTGGGACGCCATAGGGAAGCGACCCAGAGCTTCTCGCTCATCCCAAAACTCTAGAACACGTCCAGATTATTATAGTCTTACTACTACTATTACTAATATTATTAATATTATCACTATTATTAATCAAATATATCTGATTAACATTTGAATTGAAAACATTGATATTCGTATTTGTATTTAATAACTGTTCGAATCAAATTTAGAATTCTTATTTTGTATTTGTATTTGAATTTTTCGAATTCGAACCGTCTTATACGAATTTGAGTTTCGAATCGAACATAAATTATTTGATTTGTATACAAACCTAACACTACGTAACTGTAAAAAAGCAATAATGCTTCATATACACGTCATTTTACACGCCAATCAAATTGTCCGTCTGTATACATTTTGATCGGTATTTTGTGAAGAAAACCGTTTTTCACACAGATGCAAAAAATTGTTCGTGTCACACAAAAAAATATCCTGTTACAAAGACAGTTTTTTTGTGCATGCGAAAAACAATTTTATATACAAATTATCGATCAAACTGTCTGTGCATCGAAAATTTAACTAACTTGTAAAATGAGGGTACAAAATTACAAATAACATTTTTGAAAAAAAGGATAAAGACAAAAAATGACATTAAGGTTTTTAGCAAATCTCGGATTAAACACTAACGTTTTAATTAGACCAAATAAACACAAAATTATAGTTTTTGGGTCCATCTATACCACCCTTTAACACCTCCATTACCCTTCCCCGTCGTTTACTCCCCATCATTCCAAAAACCCTTGCCCACCCCAATCCAAGACCCTGTCCCTCCCCAGCCCCAGGTCCAACCCCTGTCCTGCCCTTGCCAGCTCCCCAGCTCCACATCCGAGCAGTCAACCCTCAATCAGCACTCCCTACCTCGAACTCCGACCAGCCATCCCCAGCCTCCCAAACCAGCCCCCGCCCGAGCCCCAGCCTCCTCGCAACCCCCCTCTCAGCCTCATAGCCATCATCACCAGCCAAGCTGCCGGCGAGATGCTATAGATCAAACGGAGCACGGCCAGATCTAGATCTTTGCCAGAGACGTAGAGATGAAACGACAGTAAGGCAGAGCGACGGCTTTTACGACAAGGCGGAGCGGTGGCTTCGACGGCAAGGCGAAGCGGCGACGAGGCGGAGCATCTTCGAGGCAGGACGATCGACCTCCGGTGTTGCTTTCTCTCCTTAATTTTGTATAATTTTGGACCCAGAAACCTCTCCTCGTTGAAACTTCAAACCATATATGTGGGGGTGGGGGTACTGCCTACCCGCCATTCCCCTGCCCCTCCTTTACTCAAGTTTCTGTCCTTGATGACTCGGAGCCGCCTGAACCACAGCTCCAGATCTTCTGGCCCTCCTAATCCGGATCACTTGACCCATTCTCCCAGGCCCACCTACTCTTCATCCTCATCTACTCGCAAGTCAACTACCTCCCGAGCTAACCCGCTCAAAGCCGTCGCTCGGACGGTCGCCGGAGCTTTTGCACCTTGTTTCCCTCATCCAGATTCAAAAGACCCGACCCAGTTTGATGATTCCATCTCCTCCAAAGCCAAAGCCACCTCTGGTATTGGTAATTAACCCCCACTTCCATTACTATATGCATCCCCCATTACACATCTTTGATATACTTCGGTTTGTACTAGGGTGTGAGACCAGTTCGGTTCTTAAAATTAGTGGAACCCTTCAAAAAAACTTAGCTAATCAAATCGATTTGGTTCCTATCTAAAATTTCAAGAACCGACCGAACCAATAATAAATGGTTCGATTCTTATCTTTATCGGTTCCTAAGCATAATTTTTTCCCGTAAAAAACTAACATAGTTTACTTTCTACAACACAAAAACATGGAAAATTTAAAACACAATCAGTAAGTACTTTTTGAAGCTCTAATCACTTCAAACATCAAGTCCAAACTTAATTTATCTAACATTTAATAGAATGAAGTAATTTTTGAATTTTGTTTGTAAATAAAATATGAAAAACATTGTTGTTTGATATCAATAAAAGTTGGGTCATCGTAGTAGAATAAGAGGTTTAGTTCAAGTTTCTCAAAACGTGAAAAACATATTGAACACGCAAGTACAAATATAAATATCATTACATTTCAAATCCTAGGAGCATTATTTACACTAAATCTCACAATTACAATCATCTTGAATATTATAAAGAAATATATATATATATATATATATATATATATATATATATATATATATATATCGAACCAACACGAATTAATTTGGTTTACTTTTATAATTATGAAATATCCGTGATGGAACAAAATATGATTTGGAAAAAACGAGACTAATGTATTCATCCACATCAGCTTCCATCAATTAAATTTAAATTGTTGTGTGATCAAATGTCATTGGTTATATTATTACTAATATTGTTACTATAATTATTGGTATCGTTAATGTTATATTATTATTACTAGTTATACTTTCAAATTTTTTAATTTTTTAATAACGGTTCCTTAACGGTTCTGTAGACATATATTTTGTAGGAACCAGGAACCGAACCGTTAACAAAGAATAAGAACTGAACCGTTAACAATTTATAACTCGTGTAGGATCCGAACCGAACTGGATTTTAACGGTTCGGTTCCAAAGGTTTTCTGGTTCATGCTTCCAAAGTCTCACCCTAAGCTTGTACACAGTGGAAGAAAAAATCATGCTTTTTGTTGGCTGTGTGACATGTTGTTGAGCTTTGCGTTTCTAACTTTTGATAGTCCAATAGATATCAAGATTCTATGGGTAGGCGATTCATCAATTCAGGATTACAAATTTTGCATTCTTAAAGATATATGTGAGCTGTAAATATATGACAATCTCTTACAGTTAGAATAGTATTGATGGTGTTTTATTTACACTTAGGAATAATCGGAACTTCAAATGTATAAACACATCATTTTTTTTAAAAATATGTTGCTTCATAACTGAACTGAGGATGCTTGGACCTTAATGTAAGGATTATGATGTCATTACTTGCTTCCATTAGTGCATTTCGTATGGCCTTCTATCCTGCAAACAGAAACCTGGTTGAGATCTCCATTAAAGAGTCGAATTATTTCGGTAATATGGGACTTTTGGGTATTTCAGGCACTGGAAGTGAGAGGACACATAATTCAGATCAGAATATTTGTAAGAATCTTAACAAATTAACCCACGTGGAGCAGCCCGTTGGTGTGAAATTTACCATAGAAGAAATTAATAAGGCTACAAAGAACTTTTCGTTGAACCTAAAAGTTGGACAAGGCGGTTTTGGGACTGTCTACAAGGGCCGTCTTGCAAATGGAACTGTTGTTGCAGTCAAGCGTGCCAAGAAGGTGGAAGCTCAGTTTATCATAATGTACTCTTTTTTGTCTTTTTCATAAAAAATGTAAAGAAATGTCATGAATTCCTAATTGTCTTTATTTTCAGTTTGTTTATGATAAGTATTTAGAAAATGAATTTCAAAGTGAGGTCCAAACCCTGGCAAAAGTAGAGCATCTGAATTTGGTCAAATTTTATGGTTTCTTGGAGCATGGGGAAGAAAGGATCGTTGTTGTTGAGTATGTTTCAAATGGCACTTTGAGGGAACACTTGGACTGTGAGTTATTAGCACATGTCATTGTATCTGACCTATATCATACTGTTTTTTAGTCCCAGTAGCAAACCTGTATCATACTGTATTATTATTTGTTTACAAATTTTTAAATTGTTGTGTTTGGATTACATATAAAACCTAGGTAACAATGGAAGGGATGTTCTACATCTTGCCAAGAGACTGGACATTGCAATAGATGTTGCCCACTCGATCACATACTTACATACATACACAGGTATAAACTAGGGTATGAATTGATCCATGAGTTCTACCTGCCTTGCAATATTTTGAGTGAAGTGCCCCTTATTGGAGGATGGGTTACTTTCCATGCAGATCACCCAATTATCCACAGAGACATCAAGTCATCTAATATTCTTCTCACTGAACACCTCCGAGCTAAGGTCGCCGACTTTGGTTTTGCCAGGCTTGCTGCTGATAGTGAGTCTGGAGCCACACACGTTTCTACCCAAGTCAAAGGAACTGCTGGCTACTTGGACCCGGAATATCTTAAAACCTATCATCTTACTGAGAAGAGTGACGTTTACTCGTTTGGGGTATTGCTCGTCGAGCTTGTCACAGGAAGGCGACCCATTGAGCCTACACGTGAACTCAATGAGCGAATAACTGCTAGATGGGTAATGATTTTATAGCAATGATCATTAAATTATGGGAAGTCTATTAAGTCATCTCACGCTGGCCAAGTATAAGATACATGTTCACGTATAACGCATTGGATTATTAAGTCCTCAAGACGGTTTATCTTTTAAACTTGAACCCCAAATCCAAGTCTTGTGATGGTATTAAAACTATTTAATTCCAAGTCTTATAATAGTGAGAGATTAAGTTCAAAGCATAAATCACAACCCTTCTATAAGGTTGATTTTTTATGTTGAAATGCTAAGTCCTCATGTAGTGTGTATGCATTTGAAAAGATTGACAAAAATAAATAATTTGGCACACTATGTTTTCTATTTTGTAGTGGATTGTTGATTTGCATCCCATCTTTTGATCATTTTTATGCGTATGTTGGGTTTAGACAATGATGAAAGAGTTATATAACTATTATTATGTTGTTGGAACTGAAAACTGACTCACATGCAGGCTATGAGAAAATTCACCGAAGGAGATACAATTATGATTCTGGATCCACGGCTGGAAAGATCTATGGCGCATGGTGCGAGTATAGAAAGAATTCTTGAATTAGCTTTACAATGCTTGGCTCCTCATAGACATAACCGGCCTGAGATGAGGAAGTGTGCCGAGATTCTCTGGAGCATCCGCAAAGATTTATGAGATTCAAACAACTGTCTACAATACCACATATGATGATTCTTTTTTGTGTATATATACTCCAAGCAGATGGCAAGTTCTTATACAGCAAGGAGAGTGCCTCTCTTCTATAGGGATGTTGAGCAATGCATGAAAAGTAAGGTGGCAAGGTTTCCTACACTACATGGATCCTTCTGGCACATGTCTCTCCATGTGTGGGCAAAGTGCTGTACACCACCCCATCCCAATGATGTGGCTTGTTTTGATGTAATTTTCTGTTTTTAATGGTTGTATGAACTGTGTAGAGGTATGCCAGTAAAGTTTCTTGAGGAAATAGTTGGATGGAAGGATTGGAAGCACACATTCTCCATTTCTTCCTCTAATATTAGATATGTATTTCAAAAGTGCTTTCTTGCAAAACAACTTCATAATATCACCTGCAATCATTTGTGCTAATGCAATTTGTTCTTTCCTTAAAGTGCAACTCCAAAATTTATGTACCAGACAAGTCTCTGTTCACCGTTATCACCAGCGCCCTCACTACCGTCCTTCTCTGATGCATTATCCACCATCTCTGATCCACTTTTGCATTATCCACCATCTCTAATCCACTTTTGATTGTCAGCACATTCGATATCGACCATCTACCTATACTTAATTTTCACCTTCTCCTGAGTCATTGCCCATTGCCTCCCATTCCCTACCCATAAAAAAGGAATAGAAACATAAGAAAAAGGATTCTAATAAATCACGATGACGAGTTTTCTTAATCTGAAAAGTCCATTAGCCATTCAATAGTAATATATGTTCTTTTGATTTGATCACCATTAAAGAATGACATTGTAGTCGCATGCCCACCGTGACAATGGAGAAGTTGTGGGTCCAAAGTAACACCATTGCTCACATGGATTAGAGTTAATTTTTTTATAAACGACATTAGTCCACAAAAGTTATACACATATTTAGGGCGTAGTGACTAGTGAGGAGTAAAAATTGGTTGGGATGGGCGTGCTGGTACAAAATCTTTTTCAAATAAATTTCTACACATAAATTTTGACCTTAACAACTAAGCATATTTCAAAATTTGGATAGCCCGAGTCCGATCACCCCTTCACCTCTGCCCGTGAAAGGTGCACATATCCATAAAAGATATTTCACTAATACTAAAGTTAACTCCTTTAATAACAATTCACTCCGTGTAACATAGTATTAGCAATCAAGTATAATATCTAAAATTAGACTTCAATCTCTATGGGTGTCTCCAACCTAAATTTTGAAGGATTTTTAAACATTACAAATTCAAAGCATTTTGAGGACACCCATTAACTAAAAAAACAAACAATTGCAGATCCGCCCAAACTACCTGAAATTGGTTTGGGGCATGTACACTCCATTTTAGCGGAGCAACATCAAATTCCATTTGGCATCTTCTGCAATCTTCTGGCAATATCCTACCCCCCTGCTTCATTTCACTCCGTCTCTACTCATTTCGCAGCCAGTTATCAGCTACTTTAAAATCTAATACGTCGATCCAAGATGTATATGGCATATGGCTGGCCACAGGTCATCCCACTGGAGCCTGGTCTCTGCCATCATTCTCAGCAAATTGTTTACCTCAAGGTCACTAACGGCTTATTGCTTGTAGTATCGCCAATTCACCTTGAGCTCTGGTCCTCTTCTCAGGTCATTTCAACCGAATTTCTCCTCATTGATTTATTTATATGCAAAATTGGATGATATTTTTGTACTCACGGCTGTTGAATTTGAAATCCCTTTCAGCATAGGGTGAGATTGGCGAAGTACAAGAGAGATTCAGATTCAATTCACAGGGAAGGCGAGAATATTCAGGCTGTTTGGAGTCCCGATACCAAATTGGTTGCTATAATCGTAAGTCTATAGTTGGTTAAAACAATAACAACTATTACTACTCCCTATAACGTTGTCAGTAATGCATTGGTGTTGTTTCCGGGGCAATGTGGTATGTGCTTTAAGTAGACCCATGGCTCAAAGCTCGGCTTTTCTGTAGTGATTATCTTTGTATGAGCTTTAATGCACAATTATCATCACATTTCTTTAGTTCTAGGGAGGGGCATTATTTGGTATGGGTTTTGTGAGACTCAGCAAGCCATCAATTTTTGTTTATTTTTCATTGATTGGTTGTATGATTGCTTGCATTTTTCTGGAGAATCTGTTCTTTTGGTTGTCAAGGGTACTTGTAATGTTTAAAAGCACGTAAATTGAATGCATCTTAACCCTGTTTTCTGCAGTTTGATTTACATTGAAACAAGTTGAATAAATTTTATACTAAATTTGGACTGTGTAAGCTGATATGTATTTATTTTGCTCTTTCTCAGACATCATCTTTGCATATCCAAATCTTTAAGCTTCAATTTACAGAAAAGAAAATACAAATTGGAGGGAAACAACCATCTGATTTGTTTCTAGCAAATATAAGTTTACTTCTTAGCGAGCACATGCCATTTGCTGACAAGAATTTGACAGTGTAAGTTGTTTTCTCGTTACCATATTTTGGTTTTCAAATTCGTTGCAGAGCCAGTCCCAACTTCTCTTTTTTATGTATGATGAAGTTGTTTGAATTTGCTTAGGGATCTTGTAAAGTAACAGTCAAGCACATTACAATATTTGGAATTTATATTAAGTTTTGGACACCATTAATTTTTTTGTTATTCGGTTTGCCATATGTTGCCATATTATGTAATGACCTGCTTTTGAGTTATATATACTCCCTCTGTTCTTCAATATATGGCAGTATAGGTTTTTCACGGAGATTAAGAAAAACTAAGGGTTAATGCGTAGGGTAGAAAAAGTATGGAAGAGAAGGAAAATATTAGGGAAGAGAAGGAGAAAAAGTAGGAAAAATAAGCAGAAAAGACAGGAAAACGAATATGAAAAAGTAAGGTAGAAGTTGCCAAAAATGGAAATGGTTCAAGTAATGAAAACATTTCAAAAGGGAATATGGGTCATTTAATCAAGAATGGAGGGAGTCTTTTTTGTTTTCGGTTTCTTCGTGGAACCTGATAGTCTCCTTTGATTATGGTTCTCCTTTGCTGATTTGTTTGGCAGGAGCAATATTATCTCTGATAACAAACATATGCTTGTTGGACTCTCTGATGGGTCATTGTATAACATTTCATGGAAGGGTGAGGTAATATAATTACTTTTAAGACATCTCTATCATCCATTTATTAAGAAGACTCGGCTAATATTTAGAAACATCTTTTATATGAAGAAGTTAGTGATGAAGTGTCGTAAGTTGTAGCTACTTAACTATTTATCAATCGAGTCCAGAAAATGCTTTAAATATTTTGTGTGCTAATATATTGTCCTTATTCTGATTGTTGTTAATGCAGTTTTATGAAGCCTATAATATTGATGATCAGTTTCACTATGATAGTGAGGGTACTAAAGTTCCAAATTATCTAGAAAATGAGTTTTCTTCAAGTGGGACTGAAATTGATTCTTTGCCTAGTTATTGCAAGTCAAAACCATCCGCAGTGTCCCACCTGGAATTTTCCCTACTCTTAAGGTTGCTGTTTGTTCTATTCTCTGACGGGCAACTCATCTTATGTTCTGTAAGCAAAAAGGGCTTCAGACATTCTGAATCTGTTAAATATGAAAAACAATTGGGTTCTGGTGATGCTGTTTGTGCCTCTGTTGCTTCAGAACAACAAATTCTTGCTGTTGGTTACAAAAGAGGTGTTGTTGAGTTGTATGATCTTGCAGATTCCGCTTCACTGATACGCTCTGTTTCTTTGTCTGACTGGGGGTAAGTCTCTAGGCTACAGAGTGTGAAAGATATGAAGACACTGAAAGTTGATGAGATGCTATCACACGTTTGATTTAACTTAGATATATCATTTATTAGGCAGTCATCAGAGAATGGATGACTAACGATTATTCTCTGGAAGAAGTTATTAGAGGAAGTAATTCTAATACTCAGGGTCAGGGTGGCAGGGGAAGGGGTTGAGGATAACCTAACATACAGCTCTACTACATTAGCACCTCCAGATACGGTTTCCTAGAACGTTTAGGCTTATTCGTTTTATATATGCTTGTAATCTTTTACTTTATGGTGGCTATATGAATGAGTATGTAGACGTTAGCTTCTGCACCTAGATAGTGGAGAGAATGCAAGCTCATCTTATACAGATAAAGTTGTGAAATAATTTTTTTTATATTTTTTCTGGGTCTCACTTTTGCAGGTATTCTGTTGAGGATACTGGTGCTGTAAATTGTATTGCTTGGACAGCTGACAATTCTGCTTTCGCAGTTGGGTGGAAGTTAAGAGGGCTTACAGTTTGGTCAGTTTCTGGGTGTCGATTGATGTGTACAATCCGACAAGTTGGATTAAATTCTATATCTTCTCCAGCAACTAAGCGTAATCAGGAATGTAAATATGAACCTATGATGGGTGGAACCTCACTGGTACACTGGGATGAACATGGATATAGGCTTTATGCTGTCGAGGAAGGATCTTCAGAGAGAATTATTGCATTCTCTTTTGGAAAATGCTGTCTCAACAGAGGAGTTTCTGGGACAACTTATGTTCGACAAGTAATCTATGGTGAAAATAGGTTGCTTGTTGTCCAGTCAGAAGATACTGATGAACTTAAAATCTTGCATATTAACCTTCCAGTATGTGCCAAACCGATTGAGGAGTTTGCTTAGTTTTTTTTCATCTAAAGCCATCATATTCTCTCCTACCGTTTTTCATTTTCTTGCATGATACTTTTCTGATATATTAAGTTTCAATATCAGGTTTCATATATTTCCCAAAATTGGCCCATTTTACACGTGGCTGCTAGTAAAGATGGAATGTATTTGGCAATTGCTGGCCTTCATGGGTTGATCCTATATGATATACGACAAAAAAAATGGCGTTTTTTTGGAGATATTAGTCAAGAGCAACATATTCAGTGCAGGGGCTTGTTATGGATGGGGAAAATTGTTGTCGTTTGCAACTATGACGATGCTTTGGATGGGTAAGAAGTATATGTGTATGTAGCTTGCACTTGGAAAATATGGAAGTGGTATTCGCCTCTAGCTTCTGTACATAAAAAATATAAAGCCTGTACTTGATGTCTATACACATGTCACTGGCCGATACACTTTTTAACAAATTGGTCCACCCTCTATCTTCCTAGAGTAGCTAGGCTAATCTTGGAATCTTTTGCAGGGTTAATTTTTAGGAGTTAAAAAAGATATACTGTGGACCCTGTGGTTTTGCGTCTAGGTGGTGGCCGCGCGTCCTAATCTTGGCTTAGCCGGCAAAAAAAACCAGCCTGCCGATTAGGTAGTTTCCCTTGTAGGTGGTTCTCCCCGTTCAGTCTTAATAATGATACAATTTGAGGCTATGAGCACTTAGCATTCTATTGTCAGGTATCTACTAAAACTGGACTGAGGGAGTAATAAAATAAAAAAGTGGGAGGCCTAAATGCCATAGGCAGGATAGGTGGCAGGCTATGAAGCACGGAAACTCTCCGCGGCTCATGTTTCCCCGTTTTGGAAACCCGGAAACTTCAAATTCTCGTTTCGGGGCCGTTTCCGTAATTAAGAAAAATTGGGAAACCCGTTTCTCTAAATAATTAGCGTTTCGGAAACCCTGGATTTTCAATTTTAATCTTTCTTAAGAAGTCCTATGAAGGAAAATAGTCTTATAATATAGTTTCATCTTATTTAAGTAACCTTGCTCACCAATTATTTTTGTAGCTAACCAATAACCAAGTTGCAGATTTTTAATTTCTTAATAGTTTAGAGTACTCATCATTCAACTTGTAATATCAAATTTGCAGGTATGAGTTACTTTTTTACCCAAGATACCACCTGGACAAGAGTTCTCTTCTTTGTCGCAAACCGTTGCTCGCAAAACCAATGGTGATGGATATTTATCAAGAATATATACTTGTTACTTACCGCCCTTTTGATGTCCACATTTATCATGTGAAACTGTTTGGTGAATTGACCCCTTTGAGTACTCCAGATTTACAGGTAACAATTGCCTGATGATTTGCAAATCTTATTCAAACTTTTCAAGTGGTTTGGCATTTTGAATTTGTCTTTAAAAATGGTCTTTTTCATAGTATTATTATGCAAAACATATTTTTTGTCCCTTTTAAGTAATAAAATGACAAACAGCTTTCTACAGTCCGAGAGCTATCAATCATGACTGCAAAGTGCCACCCTGCAGCAATGCATTTCATCCCCGACCAACTTCCAAGGAAAACTTTTACAGAGAATGGTATATCATCGCCTGCCATGTTAACGAGAGAGCCTGCTAGGTATGTGGTTCCTACCAGTAATCAATTGACAAATATGAATTTTCAGTTCCAATAGCAGATCCGATCAAAATAGTAGAGATAATGAAGTTTATTCGATAAGGGAGATAATCCGTAGGTAGCAAGGCAACAATGGGACTGTTCGAGAAGCCCACTCTCCAAGGCAACACTCAATTCAATAACAGCCTCCTTCTTTTGATATCCCTCCTATTTATAGTATTATCCACGCAGGGATTAATAAGGCTACTAGCCCACTAGTTTACTTATTATTGGATCCCTTATTCCACCCCTTCCCCTTCTATTTATACTACTAAATGTACCCTTACTATTATTATTATTTCTTATTATTAGCCTACTAAGCCATATTCCTATCAATACCCCCCCCCCCCCCCCCCCCTAAACAACCACCTTGTCCTCAAGGTGGGTGATAGGAAACAGCCATGATCTTCCACTTCCACTTCATCCTGGCACCTCTTCCTTCCCAATACCTCACAGCTTGCTTGACCATGACCTTCATTACTTGACCTTTCATCTTTCACAGCAAACAGGGGCACAAACTGGATATAAGAACTCCCTGGGATTACACTTGAAGCCTCTTCTTTGTAACCAATATCATCATATAAAGGTTCTGCAAGATAAATCCAGCTGCCCTTGTAGTGATTTCAGCTGCTACATCATAGAGAACCACAGCAACTTGCTTACCCAGATCTTCATCTTAATTCAGCAAAATCTTCCATCATTTTCATTTCATTTTCATTTACCCCAGTGCCGCAAAGGCTCCCACCTACGGTGGGGTAAGGGGGGGTCGGATGTACGCAGCCTTACCCCTGTACTAAAGCACAGAGAGACTGTTTCCGGATGACCCATAGTGAAAATCCCGTCCAAAATTGCATGGACTGACTGCTGTTTCATAACAAAGAAGCGCAGACAGTTTAGTGAGCCATTTTGCTTTATTCCATCATAATCTCAAGCCAAAAAATAATGAATCTTTGGCTCCATTGCAAATGATGGAAAACAGCAAAATCTTCCCTAAAATAGAAATAATCTGAGGAGTTTCATCTCTAAAGGGATCACATAGCAAACAAACTATAACCTTTTTAAGAACACCCATCTGAACTTGAAATGTTCTCTCAGTAGACCTCTTCAGGACTTCCATAAATACTGGATAAAAAGCCTCCTGGATCTCACTTTTGGATATAGCAAAGAGGCCCCTGAGCAAGCTAATCACTTCTAGCCGTGTATTCAACTCACCCGTCTCCTCTTTGGATTGCATCATAGGAGAATTATAAGTGTAGACTACCCATTGATAAGCTCCATAGAGATTTTTCATTCCATCCAACAATTCTATAGCAACTTTGATATTATTACCAACTTCTGTTTTCAAAGATAAATCCATGAGGTGCTCGCTATTGGAGACATCAATTCCAGCAGCCTGGATAGTAGAGTCCCGATCCATACTGATTCCACCTGACTGTGGTATTCAAGCACAAACTCATCAGCCCTTTTCAGTCCCGAATCAGAAAGTACCAAATTGCAGTTCTTTATGGCCACCCTGTACTTGACATCTGAATTAGTGAAAATTGATCCTTCAATTGCACTAATCTGTGGATCATTCCCTACCCCTTTATTTTCCCAGGTATTCAGGACTAAGACAATATCTGCACCCAAAGGAGCTTGGCCCTGTCCTTCAACATCCACAACAATCAAGTCCATAAAGTCAATAGCACTTGTTTTATCTTTGGTACCCTCTGTCTTTACCCGAAATAATTCCCATGAACGTGCACCCATCTTCCCGCCAATATCATACAACTGAATAGATTCTTCCCGTGGACCCATTTGCTCTAGACTACTTGCATCAATCCTGAAACTTTGGTGGAACCTCAACAGCCCCCTCAGTTGATCAGTTACAAGCATTAGTCCCTTTCGGGGTACATACCTTGAGATGTAGGAGTTGACTCCCCAGCTTGGTTTATCTTGACTTGATACCATACCCAAGGGAAGTGCTTTGACTTCTGAGTATACTCATAAGCCCTGTTAACTTGTAGAAGCCCTTCTCTGTAGATTAACTTTTCTTCTTGCAAAGATCCCACCGTAGTATCTGTATTTTCTAGAGCCTTCCATGCACTGTTCAGGTTCATGAAAATGCCTTCAGTCTTCATGCCACTTATCAGTAGACCAACTGCACCCCAAGCCGAATGAGATGACATAGATGTTCCATTCATCAATTGGCCTCGTGGAAGGGTGCCCGTAGGAACTGGAGCCACACCTTTCCTAGTCATCCTTATTGAGACCCCAACATCTCCATCAGCAGTTGGTCCCCTACTGGATCAAGTGCACTTAAGACCTTTAGAAGGAGACTGAGCCAACAAGTGAGTCTCAACAGCCATAGCAGGGGAGACATTATCCAGTGCGCTAGCTTCAGGTCCAGCTGCAACTGTGAGTTGCTCCTTACGATCATCATAGTCCTCTGTGAACGCATCCTCAGCGGATGGTTGACTCCAGCTAATAGGCTCCAGACCGAGCGATGGAACTGATGGATTGTGATAAGCAGATTCTTCACAAATAGCAGCCAGAATAGTGTGTCCAACATGAGGTTCAGTACGAGAGTTCTTAGAAGAGAATTGTGAGAAAATTTCCCAGCCAACCAGCTCGGGTTAAACCCTTCGAATCACAGCTACCGGGAAAGACTCTAAGTTACATTCATCTGTAACAACAGTGTATGAGCTGAGGATTCCCTCCAACTTCTTGGTAGGCTTTACTATTTCAATTCCTGACATATGTCCAAGAGGACAATTCTCTTTCGCACCCATTGCAAAATCCCCCCTGGTACAAAGACTGTCAACAGTAATCACCCTCTCCTTTTCTTCCCTCACAAACTTTTCATCTGAATTAGTGATAACTAGTTCCTCTCTAGTCCTTCTAAGGCACTAGTCTGTGAATTATCCTTCATCACTTGCTTTGCCAAAACAGGAGACTCCACTTGGGCTGGTTCTAATTTACCTGAACACCTTCCATTGTCTTCCTTCACAGGCATGTTCACATCATTCTGAATAGTTGATGGAGATTCCGTAGGTTCAGTAGTATCCTCGTCATGCTCCAGTTCTGGGACTGGTGGTGCAACATACAAGCCCTTTTCGGATTCTACCGGGTCGATGGTTCTGGATGCGGAGGACACTTGCGCTCTGGGAGAAGCCAATGGCGACCAACCCTGTGTACTGAGAATAGTCGTTCTTGAATGTGAACTGGGAAAAGTGGTTCGCATCTGCACACTTCGCGATGCACCGGAAGACTTAGTTCGCATCTGGGAACTGTTAGAAACCGGACGATGCGATGATCGTGATCTTCCCCTTTGTTCCTTCTTCGTGGCGTTAGATGCTGAAATCGCTGCCATAGAATCCGATGCAGTTCTGAATCTGTGCTGCCATGGAAGCCGCGATGTTTGCCAAAGCCGTCTTCATCTCCAGTTCGAACTTATCCATGCGAGCCTCCATTTATGGTGTACAGACTTCTTCCATAGCAGCTCCAGGTAGTTAATAATCTCGATCGATGCAGATGATAAGTCGCCTCTTCAATCCGATCCCCGGGAGCAACTGCTCTGATACCAATGATAGAACACTGGCAAAGATACAGGGAAAACAGTAAAGGAAATAGCAGATCCGATCAAAATAGTAGAGATAATGAAGTTTATTCGATAAGGGAGATAATCCGTAGGTAGCAAGGCAACAATGGGACTGTTCGAGAAGCCCACTCTCCAAGGCAACACTCAATTCAATAACAGCCTCCTTCTTTTGATATCCCCCCTTCTATTTATAGTATTATCCACGCAGGGATTAATAAGGCTACTAGCCTACTAGTTACTTATTATTAGATCCCTTATTCCTCCCCTTCCCCTTCTATTTATACTACTAAATGTACCCTTACTATTATTATTATTTCTTATTATTAGCCTACTAAGCCATATTCCTATCAGTGCACTAATGCTTATTTTTTCTTTTTAGATGCTTGGTTCTGAGAACAAATGGGGAGCTTTCACTTCTTGATTTGGATGAGGGGAGGGAAAAAGAGCTCACTGACTCGGTGGAATTGTTCTGGGTTACATGCGGTCAGTCTGAGGAGAAAACTACCCTTATTGAGGAAGTTTCATGGTTGGACTATGGCCACCGAGGAATGCAGGTTACAGATTTCTTTAGCATTTAATTTCTCGTGATGTTTTTTTGGCTTTTTATCTTGTATGTCCCATATATATACTGTATGGTTTCAAGCTCATTATTACAGGTTTGGTATCCATCTCCAGGTCTCAACAGTTTTAAGCAAGAAGATTTCTTGCAGGTATGAAGTATGAAAATGCTTTCTTATAGTTATATGCTTTATATGTAAAGATGTAGGGATAAGTACAGAAAAGATACTTATGGTTGGGCCCGTTTTCAGATAGGGTCATGTGTTTCATTTATTATCAATCTGGTTCATGTGGTTGAATTCCGTTATCACAAGAGGGTCACACCGTTAAAAACGCATGAGGAAGACGGTTAATAGCAACTCCAATTTCCAAAAGTGCCCGAAAAATTATAAGAAAAATACCGGAAGGTGCTCCTCGTTTAGATGACCTCCAAACCACCTTTACCTTTCATCATTTTCATTTACCCCAGTGCCGCAAAGGCTCCCACCTACGGTGGGGTAAGGGGGGGTCGGATGTACGCAGTCTTACCCCTATACTAAAGCACAGAGAGACTGTTTCCGGATGACCCATAGTGAAAATCGCGTCCAAAATTGCATGGACTGACTACTGCTTCATTACAAAGAAGCGCAGACAGTTTACTGAGCCATTTTGCTTTATTCCATCATAATCCCAAACCACCTTTACCTTTGAATTTTTAAAAATGAATTTGCTAATATCACTTTTCCGTTGGACTTTCTGGTGACAAGGGTGGCTGGAAACAAAAAAGAAAGATGACCTAGCAGTCGTCTTGTTGAGGACCCTGCTGTGATTACGAAACTCAAACACATGAACCACTTTGATAAAAAATGAAACACATGACCCTATTTGAAAATGGGCCCAAGTACAAGTACCTTTTCCGTACTTTTCCCAAAGATTTATCTTGCAAAACCTGATCTTCCATTGATATTGGTGCATGGCGGCATAATGAATTTAATGTGTCCAACTAAACTAATAGAGATTGGATCATCTCTCTCACACTCTCACACACACACACACTCACACACACTCTCCCCTCTGCCTCCCTCACACACACATAAAGGAGCTGCTTTGGGATTCATTTTTTGCTTGTGTTGATGGTTTGGTGCCAACTTGTAGTTGGACCCTGAAATGGAGTTTGATCGTGAGGTTTATCCCCTTGGCCTATTGCCACATGCTGGAGTTGTGGTTGGGGTTTCCCAGAGGATGTCATTTTCTGCAAGCACTGAGTTTCCTTGTTTTGAGCCAGCCCCTCAAGCTCAGACCATATTGCATTGCCTGCTTAGGCATCTTTTGCAGGTAGCTTCTGGTCACAAAAGCTCATCTTAAGTTTACTCTCAGACAAGACTACAAGAGTTGTTTTTTTACATGGAATATACAGAGAAGGGAACATCTTTTTATGCATAGTGGGGATAACAAGAGGAGTATGAACTTCACGGAGGATGGGTGTTGCACTGTTGCATGACCATCAAGGACTAAATGCATTCAAAAAACACCATGCACAAAATAAGCTAATCCAAATAGATAAAAAAGATAATCTAAACATATCATATCAGGAGAGAAATGGTGCTGAGCCATTATTTGCATGCCGTTTCCTGAAATAATTCCATCTTATTATATGCCAGACACTCAGATGTTTCATATGATTTGAAACATTAGTTTAAGGTGAAGATCTTTCCAAATTTTAGGCATTAAAAAACCGAAATCAACTGTATTTTTGATTTTTTGTTCATCTAAGTTTTTATGAAAGCAGTAGGCATTTGTGGCATTTACTCCCTCCATTTTTTGTTAGTTGATATTTTAGCCTTTTGGATTTGTTTCTTTAGCTGATGTTTTAGGGGATCTGTTCATACAGACTAGAGAGTTTTCAGAAGTTAATTGTTCAGTAACTTGGCCTTTCAAATTTTATAAGGATTCATTGATTGGGATCTGAAACAGGGCACTTAAGAATATAGTTAATGCCCAAATCAATTCTCCTTATTTGGTGTGCCAAAATTTTAAACATAACTAATAAGAAAGGGAGGGAGTATATCCGTATATGGCTGCCTTTTTGAGAGGCATATGCTCAGTGTGTAATAGAAAGTCTTTTTTCTAAGTGGGAAAAGTTTATATATAAGAATTCTTAATACATATAAACACCACAGCTAAGCTATGAAACACTGATCTGAATACCATGAGTTTCTATGGGGCTGTATGAAATACATTCTATCAGTTAAATGAGCTGGGATACATCAGTACATGAGTACATCATGCAATATACAACTCTACCACACAAAGTTTAGCATTACCTTCTATTCCATCTGTTTCCAGAAATATGAAATTCTGAATACTTCACAGTGTAATACGACATTGTAGAACAATCCATGATACTAATTAACATGTGTCCTGCATAATTAATGACACTTGTAAAATACGTTCTATCAACTTATCAGTAAGTATCCAACTAGTTTCAAAGTGAGGTATCGTCAATCATCAGCTTCATTGCTTAAAATGTTCATTCAGCAGCAGCAGCCTGCAGTTCTAACAAGATAAGAATTGACTACACTAAAATACCAATGTTATATATCTTGTCATCTTATTTTTATTCAACTTTCAAGCTAACTTATCAATACTGGCTCATCATCATCATCATTACCCCAGTGCCGCAGAGGCTCTCCCGCCTACTGTGGGGTAAGGGGGGTCGGATGTACGCAACCTTACCCCTGTACTAAAGCACAAATAGACTGTTTCCGGATGACCCATAGTGAAAATCGCTGCGAAAATAACTTTTCAATACTGGCTAATGTTAAATAAGTGTAGGTTAAGAAAACACGTTTAGACTCGGTTCTCTAGCACCCTAACATTGATATAAGTTACTTTATTCTGATAAAATCTTGAAAGAAGATCTACTTTAATCTTATCAAGTATTACATACATCATAGATGCACTCATGCACACAAACACACATTGCTCTTATATATATGTTGTATACTTGTATCAAGGTTGTCAAACACGCATTAACTTCTCAAGTAAAGATACTGACATTTTACATCATATAAGTTAATTTGTAATTACTTTCGCTAATCAATTAATATTAGATTTCATAGAAAAATGTTATTATTAGTTATTTTTTAAAAAAAAGAAGGTAAAAACCTATGTCTAGTCTTGGTTATTTTGCACCATAATATTAAAGTAAAGAGAATTCGTTCAGTTAAAACCTTGAAAGATGAACATGTTTGTTCTTATCAAATATGTCATATGTGCATTCCCGCATATTGCTCTTTATATTATACAATGTACAAATGTAGCAAAAGCAGCACCATGCAGACAACATACATGATACACCCATTGTATATATAGTATAAATTTCAGAGGAAGGAGTTGCCACCGGCACCCCTCCTGGGTACGCCCTTACTGGGATCATAAGTAGAATAATATGATCTCTATGGAGTAAGAATCATGCGTTGTTGTTAGGAGCACCAGGATTACGCAAGACCTATAATTTAATAATTGCCTCTTTGCCACCCCTTATGTTTTTGATAATGTTTACAGAGAAACAAAGAGCAACAAGCATTAAGATTGGCACAACTATCAGCAGAAAAACCACATTTTTCTCATTACCTCGAGTGGCTTCTTTTTACAGTTTTTGAGGCTGAAGTTTCTGGGTAAGTAAGCAGGAACTTCTTGTTCATTATGAGGGGTGATATGCTTTAGATATTAATATAATCTTGGAAATAGAAATTTCACATTCAAATGAAGAGTACTGAGCACCCAAGTGTTGAACTTGCGGTTCCATTTGTCTAATATTTCCATTCTTTTGAGTTGAAGTTTAATTTCTGATCAATTGAACTTTCTTGGTTGACCAGTTTCCTTCATTGCTTAATTTGTAGGGAATGTAATGAATTAAATTTCATGTATCGATTATATCCACTGTCTTTCCCTCAGAGCTTGACTCTTCATCTTCCCCATAACCAAGTGTTGAGCTATAACATGTGTTTTGCATGTTTCTCCCATGATATTATCTTTGTGTACTCTTGATATTTCCTAGGGCTTTCATGACACTAGGTAAACCTTTTGGCATATATTTCGGTGCCTCTTGCATTGTAATTATCATATACGGAGTAATAGACATTTTCTCTTTTCTTCAGTATGAGCTACATCTAACATACATGTGGACATTGAGAAATAAAATGTTGTTACTATCTTGAACAGGAAAAACACGAGAAACAATCTGACTACAATATCTAATCACAGTTCCATCACTTCCCTTCTGGAGAAGACTTGTGATCTGATTAGAAATTTTCCAGAGTATTTTGATGTGGTTGTTAGTGTTGCAAGAAAAACTGATGGTCGACATTGGGCAGATTTGTTTGCTGCTGCTGGGAGATCAACTGAGTATTTATTTTACTTTCTTTTTTCCTTTGTTTATGGGGATAAAAAGTTTTATCAATGCCTCAATGGCCGCACCTGCTCTTTGCAGTCTGAGTGTCCACTTTGGTCAGTGTGGGGGCAGAGCAAGTTCTCTTTTCCCATCTGACACTGACAAGGCTCCAGACAGTCCTAGCACTTTTCACTTAGGTGATGACTGATGATTGTAGCACAGGATAAAGGAAAAAGAGTTTAGCTGTCATAAACTGTAAATCTATCAAAAACATTAACATTATGGTATTCTATTAATCTATTCTGGAAGTATTTAACTAGTTTCTGCCCTCAGGTTATTCGAAGAATGCTTTCAAAGGAGATGGTACCGGACCGCTGCTTGCTATATACTGGTAAGAAACTCCATTATGTTTTCTTATCTGTAGCTACCCTTTATGGATACATAAGAATTACATCTTTTCAATTCTCTGTATATGCCTGTGGTCGTGTTTATTTCTATTCTTTCTGTATATTGTGGTGCTATCTGGACTAAATCTATTCATCCATTTTTTTAACAATTATGTATTTTCTGAGGACTATGGGTCATTTGGAAACAATCTCTCTGTGCTTGAGTACAGTGTGCTTGAGTACAGGGGTAAGGCTGCATACATCTAACCCCCCTTACCCCACCGTAGGTGGGAGCCTTTGCGGCACTGGGGATCATGATGTATTTTCTGAGGAGATTTATGTGCTATATTGTTCTGTCATTGCTGCAGGTAATTGCAAAACTTGAAGGTCCTCCCGTGAGTCAATACTGTGCATTACGTTTATTGCAGGTAAATATGTGTACTGGTAGGCTCTATATTCAAAGGCGTCGTTTTTTTTTTGCATTTTCATGAAATACTAGTAAGGCTTGGATGTTGTTGTTGTTGTACTAGTTTGATGATAGCTCTAGGGATGAAAAGTATTTTAATAAGGTGTATGTGAGGAGGGGTAAGAAGGGCGGGATTCATTAATGTGCTGGCTTGTTAATAGAATATATGTAGGGGAGGGAATAAGGGAACAGTAGGCTGGTATTCTTTTAGAAGTGGCTGGGCTTTGGCTAGAGAGAGAAACTGCCTGTTCTTTCTCTAGATTGGGCTGTTATTCTCGTTCCTTCACTGTAATCCTTCTGGAGTATTGAGAATTCCTCAATCTCCCTTGTTAATAATACTGAATCTGTTATCCGTCTACTAGTGTGTCTAACATTTGACCATTTACTTTTTCTATTGGGACCTTTTTAATGGATTAGTCCAAGATTTTGTATTCTAATTAAGTAATTGTGGATTTTGAGGGAAGCAAAAAAAAAAATTCTGTCAACTTGCCTTGCATATCCCACTCTGACAAGGTTTTTGTATTTCTCAGGCAACACTTGATGAATCTTTGTATGAGCTGGCTGGGGAGCTGGTATGCACTTCACAACTATCATTATTTAATGCAAAAATTTTATAGAACCCCATATGACTCCCTTATTGTGGCACCATCTTTACCATTCAATTTTTAAGTGGGGGATCCCACTTAAAAATCGAATGGTAAAGATGGTGCCACAATACCCCATATGACTCCATAATGGAGTCATTATGACTTCATAATGGAGTCATATGGGACTCTATAAATCTACTGTTATTTAATGTGCCTTTTGAAATGACGCATAATTTTGTGCAATAGAACAGTTCACATTATTAAAATCTTTCTCAGGTGAGGTTTCTTCTCAGATCTGGACGAGAATATGAACCTGCAACTGTGAATTCTGAAAAGTTATCTCCTCGTTTCTTTGGATATTTTCTGTTTCCTTCCAGTTATCAGAGGCAATCTTTCGATTCAAATGGGTATGCTGTACGATTCGATATATTCAATGTTGGTGTTCTTGAGAGTCGTGATGCCAATAGGATTTTATTGTGCGTTTAACCTTGTTATAATATCAACAAATCATGTGTAGCAGCTCATTCAAGGAGCAGAATGCACACGTTGCTTCTGTTAAAAATATTTTAGAGAGTCATGCAAGCCTTTTGATGTCCGGAAAGGAACTTTCAAAGCTTGTTGCATTTGCGAAAGGCACACAGTTTGACCTTGTGGTATAATAAGTTTGAACCCTTTTGCTATTGATATGTGTGCTGTAACTGAATGTATGACATCACATAATATAATCTTTTGCGTAGGACTATTTGAGGAGAGAGAGATATGGCTCTGCTCGCTTGGAGAATTTTGCCTTGGCGTTTGAGCTTATTGGGCAGAAGGTATGTACATTACAGTCGGCCTATATTTTGATATTCCTAATAGTTCATGATGCAGCTTGTCATTGACAGAAACATGAGGGGAATAGTTTGACTTAAAAGGTTGAACTTAATATGATTGATGTGCTGGTTTCTTTTTTCACCAGCTTCAAATGGGGACACTGCAAAGTCGATTAGATGCAGAATTCCTTTTGGCTCAGATGTGCTCTGTCAAATTCAAAGAGTGGATTGTTGTCCTGGCTACACTATTGAGGAGATCTGAGGTGTAACCCATTTTCCTTTAAATGGATAACTTTATCTTCTGCACCAACTATATAAAGTAACCCCCTTCATCATCCAATGTGAATCTCTATTGTTCTGCTTTAAATAAGAAAATGGTTAATTGCTAAAAACGGTCATGGACTTTGGCTGAATTGCAATTTTCATGAGCAATTATTTTTACCAATGTTGTTCACAAACACTTTAACATTTGCAAATCGTTAAACCAGTCGTGTATCAGGCCCAAATGAAGCTGATATGAATGCATGAATCAGGTCACTTGATTCCATGTGGAGACACATGGAATACAAACTTCCTGTTGGCATTCTCTTCATCAAATGTACACCTTGCCTCACATTTTTGACCACCCCTATGAACCTTGGTTGCTTTCCGGTTCGGGCCTTGGATTTCCATTCAGAACTCCCCCCCGCGAACTTGTCCCAGGTCTGCTAAAGCCCAGATCTTCATTTGGCTGGATACATTACAAGTGTATTGATTTGCAAATTGCAAATGATTGTGAACGGTAGTGCCAAAATTTAAAGTTTTAGTAAAACTTGCAATTGTCACTTGAGAGTTTTTAAAATTTTGGCAAACTAACCCATCAGTAAAAACACTATACAACATCCTTGACATTAATGATTGAAGTAGAGGTTCCTTTTCTGCACTTTGCTCAGGTTCTATTTGATCTATTTCAACATGATTTACGTTTATGGGAGGCATATAGCATCACATTGCAGGTATTCTTTCTTATACATTTCTTTTTATGTACAACCTCATTTTTTGCACACTTAAGTAAATTTCAATATATGCAGTCACATCCAACATTTACGGAATACCATGATTTGCTAGCATCCTTGGAGGAGAAGCTACCATATACTTCTAATTCAGAAGAGTTATAAATCACAGTGTGGTGTTTCTACCACGGACAGGTTGTGCTCTAGATAAAAGTGTAAAGTACTTATTGTTACAAAAGGAACACGTTAAGCAGGAAGTTGATGAAGTATGATGTGGGACGTTAAAGTTCATAACATGATGTCAGGTAATGCTTATTGTAGAAATAAGTTGTAGAGAAGCGTAGCATTTTGCTGCCTATATCAAACTTTTCATTTCCATTTGTTCAGTTCAAGTCTTGGTTTATCAGTTGTATTCTTCCTGTTTATCTTTCGAGGACCTCATGAATTTATTGTATGAACATTTTTTTGGATAGAGTCATTAACCATGGGGCATGGTCCTTATCTTTTAGCTTCAGTAATCAGTACACTTTCACCTTATTGCATTAACAAGTTTAACTTATTCATGTGTTGTAAAAGAAAAAATTCCACTTTTGGTACCATGACTATTATACCACGTTCACATTTAGTCCCTTACTCTCAGATTGTCCACATTTAGTCGGTGACCATTATCCCCTCACCACCCCTTGTCATTCTGGCCAAAGTTCCGGAAAATTTAGTCCACTTCTCAGGTTCAGAATCAGTCTTTGCATTAAATTTTATATAAGGTTGGGTTTTTCATATCAGTCTTTGCATTAAATTTGGTTTTTCATATCTAAAATCTGCATTAAATTTGCCGGAATTTTGGCCAGAAGGACGAGGGGCGGTGAGGGGATAATGGTCACGGACTAAATGTGAACAATCTGAAAGTAAGAGACTAAATGTGGAAGTGGTATAATAGTCACGGGACCAAAAGTGGAATTTTTTCGTTGTAATTTGTAAAATGTAAATTGTAATCCAGGAAGCATTTGACAAACATTGCGCTTCGTAGGCAAGAATCCTAATTTGGCATAGAAAGTGAGCAGTTTAGTTCTAGTATAATTTGTACTCAGCTCGTAGATGTCATTAAAAAGTCGCATCCTAAATATAAGCAATGACTTCGTCAAAAACTTGCACATGCATAATGACACAATGGAATATGGAAATTATCCAATTATAAATATGAAATGAGGTAGATGAGAGAAGATACGACGAGATATCGTCAATGGAGCAAATATATAATTAAAAGGACAATATTGAACATTGTAAATAGATAAACTTTGGTGATTTAACAATTCATGAGCTGCATTGTTATTACACAACTATTAATTAATTCACCCCTTACGACTAACTTAATTTATGAATCACCAGTTAAAGCTATTTGAGTCGAAAGTGACGTTATTAGGCTGCCCCGAAGAACATATCGTTGCAACATCGTGCCTCAGGCTTTTGGGTCCAGAGGCAAGCACTCCCACACTCGACCCTTCTATTTCCATAAGAATTCCTGCAAGTGCATCACATACGCATTGATGAGATTATATATACATGCATGTATATATAGTATATGTATGCACTTATAGTATGTGTCTGACGTACTCTTGAGGTCAGGCCTGCTGAAGTAATAAGTGTTTATTGAAGCATTGAGAGATTTCCTTGGAAAGCTTTCAAGTTCTAGATGCTGATCATTGGTAACAGTGGCATTAGCATAACTTCTTGAGGAGTCTTGAATGTGCTTGGCCTCCCTACTAATTTGCTTTTTGTTCCAAAGGAAAGCTGCACTTGCTGAGATTACTATGCCGAAGCATATGGACAACATGTTCAACAATGCCCTTGTGTGGTATGGGAAAACCTTGTTGGACCCATGATCCATGGGGTAAACATAGTACTGGTAAAGAACCCCAACAAGGAGAAGGTAAATGACGAACGAACCCGATATAATAGCAGCTAGCCAAAGCCAACTGTTTTGGCCTAAGATAGAGGATATGGGTACATCAGAGGCCTTGGGATTGAACCAAACCGCCCGAGCTGGTTCGAGGTTTTCTGGCATTATTGTTGGCTTGGTTTCTCTTGTTATGTAAACCTCTATTTGTATGTCAAGGTTAGAATTAGTGAAAAAAGTACTAGGTGATAAAGGGAGGAGAAGGTCTAGTATGGAGAGATGTGAGGAGTTTTTGAAGATGGTGATGAGTAAAACTTTGGGTGTCTTTTGATTTTGGACTGAGCTCATGAAAATGAGTTCTTTGATGATGGAAATGAAAGGTGTTATCCCACTTCCTCCACTTATCATCACCAACGCATCATGCCTGCATTTGTTATTTACGTACTATTATTCAAGTATGATATTAGAAATAATGAGACAAATTTCTTGCCCCTTTAGTTTTAGTTATATCAGTACGGAGTATTATATTAGTGACATGCATTATAAGTATTCAACTTTGAATTTTTCCACTTTTGTCATTAGAATGTTGAGAGAGAGACATGCATTCTTGATATCATCTCTAAAATTCTATATTTAATTTTTTGGCTTTTATAGAAGTGACAATTTCAGTCCTTTCATTAGCTGATTTTATCACAACAAGTGGAAAACTAAGAACGTCGGTGCGATATTTATTGAAATACCAAAAGCGTAACTTTTATATTAGTCAAAGGGCTAAATGTGGATCAAAGTCACAACTCACAAGGACCAAAAGTCTCTCACCATATTTAAAGGACTAAATACGGAAAAACTTTAAGTTAAACATCAAAAGTGTCACTGACACCATAATTGAGTCACATTTAGGAAAAACACGTATAAAAACAACAATAAAAAAGTGAAAAGATCAATAAAAATGAAATGTGAATCACTTATCCCTTTACCTGTCCATTAATGGTGAATGGGTCACTCACTCGGGTGATGAAATCCTATTAATTGATGTTAGTAATTTCCTTGATATAATTATTCCCTTGAGTATTAATTAGCAGTCACAGATGTGAATGAGAGATGAGACCACCAATATATAGAATTAAGATTTAATTTGAACTCATATTTAACAAGCTAGGCTATAATCAACCTGAGATAACTAGTTTGTGCAGGTCCATATGGTCCTTCAACCGAAACTTGGAGGGAGTCAACCGGAGAAGGAGAAGACATAACATCATAAAGCTTTTTGGTCCAACTTCCTTCACATTTGATAATCGCACTGATTGTGTCCTCTTCCAAGTTACTATTGGATGTGATCGTAAAAGGATGCCATTGCAGCTTTGATATGGTGGGCACATTTATGAACATGATACTTGTTGGGCTGTATTTCAAACCTAATATATTGTATACATAAAAAATATTAATTACTAGTATATATTTGGTGGCTATAAGCTAGCTAGGTATGAATAGCGCATTCGAAAGTTGCTTGCAAATTATATTACAACACATGGATCCAAATTGGGCTAAAACATGGACAAAGAGCATAAATAAGACTTAAAAGTGGAAAATATGACTTATCTTATCTTATTAAAAGTGGAAAACTCTTTCAAATACAAGTGAATGAGTCATATTTTAGAGAGGGTAGTCCAATTTATGCACTAGCTTTATCTATGTTTTAATATATATATTCGATCGGCCTATTTATGAAGGAATTTGAGGGAGTTGTACCAGGGGTCTTGGAGAAGTTGAGCTCGAAAGTTTGACATGGAAGAAGACGGGCTGAGTTGAGACGAACATTCTGGGTTGACTGCAGAAACCTAAGGTATCTGTCAACGAGGAAGAGGTAGAAGCCAGGCAGCATGATGCAGGCGTAGAAGATGCCAGTGTGGAGGGTGAAGAAAGCCATGAAGCCTACGTACAGATAGTGCGTGTAGAAGAAGAGCTCGAACATCTTCCTCCTTATTCGCGGAATAGTTGTTATCCATATTGCTAATCCCATCACCAATGATATCTCTCCAGCTATATTCGATACGTAATGTGGGTCCCACTTCACCATCTGCATGCATGCATCCATCCATCCATCCAGTATACATAAGGGATGGAACTTCAAAAAATTATTATGTACGTACGTATATAATATATTACATAGTATTAGGTAGACCGACCGACCGACGGACCGACCTCATATAAACGGTGAGAGAGAGCCCAAAAGAGAATATAGAGAAGGCCATGAGCGGTGAAGAGGAGCATTGTCATATGTCCCAGCCATATGTGATACTTGATGCTACCCTCTGAAGTTAACCCTAACATTGGTAAGATAGATGACCTTCTTGTCACAGGATAGAACAGAAACGTTAAGCAAATGTTCCCGGTCAGCCCTATCACCAATGCCACTCTGTCTATCTTCGCTTGCCACCTGCACGTACGTACGTACGTGCAAATTCAATCAGAGTCGATCGCTAAAATATAATATATATGAAACCATATAAGTATAAAAACTAGCTTAGCTTACTTACACTTGAACGCCTTTGCTGGCAGCATAAATGGAGATTGAACTGTAGTGGTAGTGAATGAAAGCTGCGAAATACCAAACACACAGAACAACAAAAGCAGCAGCGAAGAGAAGCTCAATCCATGTTACTATCCCCAATGCTTTTATAATCTTTGGCTGCCTCAATGCTTTCAAAACATCTTTCCTGCACTTGTTGTATGTATATATCTCATCTTCTCCATCAATTTTAATTACTTTGGGACTAGCTCAACATATAGCTAGGTTGGCCGGATAGGAATACATACTATACATTAAGTTAACTATATACCAAGCTAGGCGGCTAAAGTTTATCAATATAATATAATATAAATGGTTCTTCTGTTTAATTGATCACATAATTTTTCATTTGGTCCTACTATACGAGTTTTATGTCAAATCCACGTGTCTTTCACTTTATCCCCTTTTGATACTTGACTAATGTTTTTTAACTGTTTGTGGTCCTTTTCCGGTGATTTGAACCATCGGAAACATTGTTGGAACGACCATATATGAGCGAAAACACAATAATCATGTATTAAAAGTGGACAAAAAGAAAGATGTGGACTAGATGTAGAATTGACCTAAAACTCTTAGAGCCAAAAGTGGAATTCATTCCTTTTTAAGTGATATTAGACTTTGCACCTCTTTTCCATCATTTGCAATGAAGCAAAGATTCATTATTTTTTGGCTTGAGATTATGATGGAATAAAGCAAAAAGACCCACTAAACTGTCTGCGCTTCTTTGTTATGAAGCACCAGTCAGTCCATGCAATTTTGGACAAAATTTTCACTATGGGTCATCCGGAAACAGTCTCTCTGTGCTTTAGTACAGGAGTAAGACTGCGTACGTACATCCGACCCCCCCTTTACTCCACCGTAGGTGGGAGTCTTTGCGGCACTGGGGTAAATGAAAATGAAAATCATTAGACTTTGCACCCATTTCAAAAAAAACTTTGAATTTGCACCTTCTTTCTCTTAAAATGTCTTTGACCTTTCACCCTATTTTGAAATTTTTCTTCAACAAAAAGTGGGATGCTGGGGTGCAAACTCATTTTTTTTTTTGAAAATGGTGTGCAAAGTCCAATATAAAATGCGGTGCAAAGTCAAAATTTCTCAATATTAAATCAAGTAAAAAAATTAGAACATAAACCAACTGCTAGCTATTACCATACAATAATGAAAAATTAAAATACATTTGATATGTTTAGTATTCACAATGAATATTATAACAACTACATTAGTAACCACATACTCCGTAGTAAATCCTACGGTATTATATTTGAAAGAGATTTAAAAAATAAAGGATGGACCATTCTTATATCATATTATCCTCCGTTCCATAAAAGTTGCAACAGTTTGACTTTCACGTTTGCCAACGCGCAACTTATATTTATTTACGTATTAGTAAACATTAAAAAAAGTTAATATATTGGAAATTTACATTAATACAAATTTATTAATATTTTATACATAATATTTTTATTATATATATACATTATTAGAAAATCGTAGTCAAAATAAGGTGTGTGAATAGTGCAGAAATTACAATGTTGCAACTTTTATGGAAAAGAAGTATGTAACACAACATAAAAATAAAAAACGCGTACCTCTGTACATTATTGTGTTTGCTTGCATCGTTTCCAAGATGGATATAAAAGCACCCAATAACACCGATGAACAAGATTGGCAATGTAAAGTTAAGCATTATGGTACCTTTATTAACAATGAATAAATGTTTTCATAATTAATTTTTGCTTGGTATAATAATCAGTTTTATGGGAGTTTAATTAAAGAGCAGATACGTATTTGAAACAAACTTATCAAATTAAACAAGTTTTAGAAGAGTAAGTCTAGTGTTTTTAAATGTTGTCAACGACATGTTGTTTGCATTAGATTTTCAAGTCTAGTACTAGTATATATGTTCTTATTTAGTTTTTTTTAAGAGAATTTTCTTATTTAGTTTGTTCTATGTAGTTTGTTTCATTGTTTATTAAAATCCAAATTGTCTTGTCTAGCATGTCCGTGTCTCTCCCGTCTAGTTTGCACAAGTTTAAACTAGCTATCTTCTCTAGCATGTTCTATTCAAGTTTAATACTCCCTCCGTCTCTAATAATTTTGCCAAGTTTGATCATCACGGAGATTAATAAAGTAAAAACTGTGTGGTTAAGATTTGTGCAGATGAGAGAGAATTAACTGGAAAGTTGGCTAAGTTATAAGGGATGAAGGGAGTATCATGCAAGTTTCACATTTATAAAAAAATAATTAGTGATTTTAATGTATTACATTACATAATAACAACAACATCAATAATAATTAATATATTGGTTATAATATATAATACGAAGAAACTCTCACAAATAATTCATAAATTTACAATTTTTTTCAAAAAAATCCCACTAGAAAAGTTCACTAAAAAAACTTTACTTGCTGTTTGTTTTCAGAATAAATGACATAGATCGTATCTACCCGCTCTTAAAGGACAAATATATGACCCGTTTTATTTTTTCCTGAAATGTCACCGCTCCAAACCTCCTCCCCTTCGGACATCCCTTCGCCTCTCTCATCTACCCCCAGAAATCAACTATTGCACTGAGGGAGATGACCGGCGCATGTCCTACACGCCTCCTCCTCCTCAAAGCCTCCTCCATGCCGGCGATGCCACCACGCCGCAGGTCGACCTCAGCAACGAAGACGACAACATCAGATCTGCATCACCATCTCTCTATCTAGCACACATCACCACCGCACCCAAACTCTTCTTCACCATTCCAGCACACAAGACACCTCCATTCCACCTTCGACCATCACAATCATTCCACCGCCGCAATTATTCGACCACAACAACCATCGATTGAACTTTCTTCTTCTGTGATATTTTTGTATCTACGGTGACAACTCGCTTTTACATAAGTGTTGATCGTTCTATTTGGTTGTTCTGTATGTTGACATCCAAAGACGGCGACGAATTTGAGCGCTGAGTAAAATCGGCGATGACGAATTTGACGGCTGAGGAAAACCAGCGGCATTCTGGTGGCTTATCTAGTAGGGGAGGAGGGACATGGCAAGGAAGGAGAATGGGTTGGGGACAAGGGGCGTGGTTGGAACTAGTGCAGGGGGTGGGTGGATGGGCTGGGTAGGGATCCCAGAAGTGGAAGGCAGCTGGAGGTCACAGACTCACAAGAAAGGGGGCGGGGAGTTGGGGAACTAGTTGGAGGTTGGGTTGGGATAGTAGCGGTGCAGAGGCTGGAAGGTCAGGGAGGGGCCGGAAAGGCCGGAGAGGGAACTGGGAAGGTTGGGGAGTGAGTTGGGGTTGTGCGGTGACGGTGCAGAACTGACTCGTGGTGTGGGATGGGTTACTGGCGGTGGTGCCAGGCTGGGGAATGGGGGACAGTGACAGTATTGTGGGGGTGGAGTAGCGGCAGTGGGTCAGGGGCTGGTTGTGCGGGGCCTGGGGGTGGTGGTGGTGGTTGCTGGCGGGGAGGCAGTGGTAACTAACCGAAGTGTGGTGATCGGAGTAATTGTGTGTCATTATCACCATGGAGGTGTCACGGTGGGTATAGTGACACAAACGGCTACAGTGACACGGGTGGCAGATACAGTGACACGAGAGGCGGCTACAGTGACACGAGCGGCGATTACAGTTACATGGGCGACGGTTCTAGTGACACGGGGCAGCGGCTACAATTACACGAGCGGTGGCTACAGTGACACAGGCGGTACGGTGGTGATAGTGACATTTGATAGTGACATTAAAATTGGATAGTGACATAAAATCTGAGAATGACATGTGTATGTCCAAATACGAATGTGATCACATTTTTTGAAATTAACTTTACTCTACTAATATTGAGGGCAAAACATTTCAATTGAGTTTTTATAGTACTCCTATCACACAACTAATCTCCCACTTTGACTTTAGAAGTCAAAATCGGTTAATGTTTAACCAATGTTATTTAAATAATAAGCTTATAAAATTTATAAATAAATTAACATTCTAACAATATATAAGGAAATAATTTATTCAAAATTATTTTCAAATATACATGAATGTATTTTTAAATACGTAATACCTAGTATATGATAATTATATTTAACATAGTTCAATATACTAAAGGGGTTTTGCCATAAATATTACTCCCTTCGTCCCTTATAACTTTGTCAACTTTCCTTTTTTGGATGTCTCACTAACTTTGCCACTTTCTCTTTTAAGTAAAGAATATGTGGTTCCAGTTCATTCTCTCTCCTCTGCACAAACATCAACCACACAGTTTTTACTTTATTATTTCTCATGCTAGTCAAACATGACAAAGTTATTAGGGACGGAGGGAGTACTAAAAAGCATATAATTGACAAAAAAGTGACCATTTTCTAAAATTTCTAGAAATGTGACTAGTCATTTTTAACCTCACAAAATTATCCATAATTTGCAGTTACAATATCTTATAGTTACATGACCGGCCATAGTGACACCCACCACAGTGACATCCGCCGCAGTGACACCACCTGCCACCGGCCAGGGATCGCCGCCCACCGGTGACCATCATCGGTCACAGTGACACTTACACAGTGACACCTCAATAGTGATACTTCGACAGTGACACTGGTTACAACAACTCCGGCCACAGTTACGCCATCTACAGTTACTCCGGCCACCACCAATCTACACCACCACCCGCCATCGACCTCAAACTCAATCCTCAACCTGAACCCCCAACCTACAGCTCATCATCACTGTCATATATAACTGAGTACCGCGGCCCAACTACAATGACATTTGAAATGCCAGTGACACCACCGTGACTTGGACACCGCCCCCATCCCACCGCCACCACTCCTTCCCACCGGTACCGCGGCCTCACCCCCGGTGACACTACTTCTGCCTTTGGCCCCTCCCACCCCCAGCCCTCCTCTCCAGCCCCAGCCCCAAATCCTCTGCCCCCAGCCCCACCCCATCTCCCTGCCACATATCCCTAGCTCTCAGTCTCATCACCCTGAAGGCCCCAAATATCCGAAAAATATTCTAAGTGTTTGGCTAACTTACAACTCAAAGGAATGGAGGAGAATGTATTATATTCCACTTAATAGAACATTACAATTGGTGACCTTATATAGGCATTACAAGTGGAGTAAAATAATCCCTAGGAAATACAATTTACCTTTCCAAGAAGACCTTTCATCTTTCCAATAAAAGTAGGGAAAGATAATTTATGTTCCCTAGGAAGTAAACTAATTAAGATTAATTAATTAATCCCAACAAATTCCTCCCCTAATCTTAATTCTCTTCGGTCTCTCATTCCGAGCCCCAACTTGCAATGCTCAAAGGTTGCGATTGGCAATGCCTTTGTGAAGATGTCTGCTGCTTGATCCCGGCTCGCTACGTGAATTAGACTGACCTCTTTGTTCTTCACTTGCTCTCGGATGAAGTGGAATCGAACGTCAATATGCTTGCTCCTCTCATGGTGGACTAGATTCCTTGCAAGCTCTATTGCTGATTTGTTGTCAACACAAATCGTAGTCGGCTCCGTCTTCCCGAGCTCCAGCTCGGTCATCATCTTTCTCACCCAAACTGCGTGTCTTACACAGTATGATGCTGCGACATACTCTGCTTCACATGTTGACAAAGTTACAATCGGTTGCTTCTTTGATAACCAAGTGAAAGCTGTGTTTCCCAGATTGAAAACATAACCGGTGGTACTCTTTCGATCGTCTACATCTCCACACCAATCGCTGTCAGAATACCCTATCATTTTGGGCTCGGCCGACCTCCCGTACAATAGCCCGTGCGTCTTCGTCCCTTGGATGTATCTCAGGATCCTCTTTATCGCCTTCCAGTGAGATTCCCTCGGGTCCTCCATGAACCGACTGATAACCCCAACGCTGAAAGCCAGGTCCGGTCTCGTACAGGTTAAGTACCTAAGACACCCGACTAGACTTCTATATAAGCCTGCGTCAGCTTGATTTCCTCCCCCAAACTTAGAAAGTTTGGTTCCAGTCTCCATTGGAGTCACGACCGGCTTGCATTCCTCCATTTTGAACCTTTTCAAAATCTCCTTAGCATAGGCTTCTTGGGAAATAAATATTCCGTCTTCGGCTTGCTTCACCTCAAGGCCTAGGAAGTATTTTAATAGTCCCAAGTCTGTCATTTCAAATCCGTTCTTCATCGCTTCCTTGAAATCTTTAACCATTTTTCCGTTGTCTCCCACAAAGATTAGGTCGCCCACATACAGGGCGACAAACAAGACTCCATTCTCATTCTTCTTCACGTAGAGTGCGTGCTCATATGGACATTGTAGAAAGCCACTCTGCTTGAAATATGTATCAATTCGAGTGTTCCATGCCCTTGGTGCCTGCTTCAACCCATACAGAGCTTTCTTTAGTTTCAGTACTTTGTTCTCGTTCCCGACTTGGACGTACCCGGCTGGTTGCTCAACATAAAATTCTTCTTCCAAAGTTCCGTTAAGGAACGCTGACTTTACATCCATCTGACCGATCGGCCACTTCATTTGGGCAGCATATGCAATCAGTAGTCGAATTGTATCCATCCGAGCTACTGGAGCAAATACCTCGTCATAGTCAATTCCAGCCTTTTGCTTGTAACCTTTTGCAACAAGCCGAACTTTGTATCGCTCGACCATACCTTCAGCATTGCATTTCTTCTTATACACCCATTTGACTCCGATCGGCTTATGACCTCTCGGGAGATTGGTAAGTTC